AACTATAAACTAAAAGCCAGTCAGTCCTAATGGCGTCAACTAAATGGCTTTAAATCTACTATTATTTTTAAAAATAATCTATTTATATACATATGTATAACTTATATTAATTATATAACAATTTTTTTTGTAATGAATATAATTATATCATAATACTTAATTAAATTTATTAGTTTAAAACAAAAAATAATTAATTGACTTACCTTGTTTGATAAAATATTGTACATTAGATACTATAGATAAAAATTAAATAATCTATATATATATATATATATATATATATATATAAATAAATAAAATTACACACATTATATAAACAGCAAAAACTTTTATTTAGATTTAATAATAATAATAATAATAATGTTTATAATATTACATAATATATATATATAATGATTTTTTGTCTTGTAGTTGAATTTATTATTAAATATATATTTTACAATTACACATCACAATAATGAGAGGATATTTTTTTTATTTTTAAAAAAATAATAATTATTATCATAATAATTAAAAATGTTTATATAATTTATATATATATATATATATATATATAGACAAATAATATAATATACTATATTTTCTTTATCCATAATTATATAATCATTTAATAATGTTTTCAATTTCCTATTAATTTATTAATATTTATTATTATTATATTTTTCACACTTATATGTCTGTCTGTTTGTCTCTTTATTTCTAATATTTATTTAAAACAATTATATATTTCTTAATATTGTTTTTAATATTTTTTTCGATCATTTCCTATCTCTTCAAAAAAATACATGTTATAAATAAATTGTTTTAATTTTTATTTTCGTAAAAATTATATCCCTTTTTTTAATATATATATATAATCACTAATCCCAGCCATTGTAAAACACACACACAAAAACCAATAGTCAATAATTATAATAATAATAATGAAAACTAATTAGAAAATATAACTTATATCATACAGTAAGACAATTATACAATAGATTAAGATTTATTTTTTTTAGTATACAGTATTATTAAATAAATATAAATAATTTGTTTTTAATAGAAAATATTTTCGTTAATTTGAATCTATATTATTATGTATTTGTATACATTTGTATTTTGTGTATAAATATATATATATTTAATATTTATATATATATATAATTTAGCAATTTTAATAATAATAATTTTTTACATAACTTACACAAATATATATATATATATAGTATATATTGGATTACAAATTATATTTGTTTGATATACGGTATGGTATGTTAATATCAAATCATATGATCATATGATGTGATATAACAAAATAGTTTATCAATGAGTAATAGACAACAATAATTGTTTTAATTTTTTTAATTTAAAAAAACTAACAAAATTATTTCAATTTAATAGAAAATAATTATTTAAATAACAACAATAACAATATAATAATAACTATAAAAATTTATTATTAATTCTAACTAATCTAAACATAATTAACTAATTAATTGTCAGATTAGACACCCAAAAAAAATCTACAGTAATAACACATACAGAAAAAAACTAACAAACAAAAAATTTAAATATAAAATTTATTTTGTTTTGTTTTTTTGTTGATTAAATACCGTTAATAATATAATAATAATATGTAATCCAAATATAATGCTATATATATATATATATATATATATTAATTTACTGTATATATATATAAGCTAAGCTTACACATAATAATAATAATGAACACACAGTTTATTAGTGAAACAATATTTTTAAAAAAAAAATTGTTTTCAATATAATTAATATATATTTTTAATATATATATATATATATATATATACTGTATATAAGACACACAATTTTCGTTTTATAATTAACTCATTAAAAAAGACATTAATCCACTTTTATTGTTGTTGTTGTTGTAATGATTTATAAAATATTTTTTTTGTTTGTTTTTTCTAAATATAATAATTGTCTGTGAATTGGAAGAGTARAAAATATTTTTTATATTATATGTACGGTATATATATATATATATATATAATTTCCACAAAAATAGACATAATTTTTATCCAAAAATATTTAAAACAAATATAGATTTTTTTTTGGTGTAAAGACAGTCATAATTTCAATAAWCAATTTGTTTTTTATATAATTTATAAATTAATAATAAAACTCTCAATTAAAATACTAATAAAATTTAGTATAATAAATAAAACAATTTATTATATATATATTGTTTATATAGACTAATAATTAATTAATTAATTCAAAAAAAAATAAAATATATTAATTATATCATTGTGTAAATTGTTTCCTAATTTTAATAATAATTTTTTTTTGTTATCTCTGATAATTTATTTAGTTAKTATAATAATTAATATATACTAATAATTTTAGTGTGAAAAATATTATAATATAACATACACCACATAAATATATTATAAATTCACCAAAAAAATTATATTATAATTTAATTGTAAATTTAATTTGGTTGTATTGTTTGTTTGTTTTTTCATATATATATATATATATATATATATTAGGAACAGATATTTTTTTTGATTAATTACCACTTAATAATAATAATAATTTTAATAACAATTATTTATTTAATTTTTTGTGTTTCTCTCGTTGTATAATTAGTTTATACTATAAATATATATAAAATAAAATAAATTAAAACAACTTTTAATAATAATATTAATAATAATAAATATATCTTTTTTTATTAGTCAATCCAATCAGTTCAGTAAATCCATACAATACTAGTAGTATATATTAACCAGTTTTCCTATACATACCAGTCCCCAAACATACCAGTCCTCTCTCTCTACATACTATATACCGTATACCGGTATATATACTATACTAAACATACTTTCACTTTTTATTATAAAAACAACATTATCATACCTTTTTTTATTATCATTATTTCATAATATTATCACAATTATTATTATTATTAATTATTATTATTATTATTAGTTACAAATTAACTCCTATTAAAATTGTAATTATTTATAACAACATTATTTTTTACACTATAATAATAATAATGATAATAATATTATAATAACAATATTATGSAATAATAAGCAGTGAAAAAAATAGTATATTATATTTTTTGTTTTTTTATCTTAATATAATATATATATAAATTATATATTATTTTTCAAATTGATATCTATGTCTCAAATTGATAATGTTATATCATGGTTTAATAATAATAATAATAATAATAATAATATAATAATGGTATCGATCAACACGTGTTTCTCATAAAATAACTATAAAAAAAATGTTATATCAGGAATGATTAAAAAAAAAATTAAATTTATTGTATATTTTTATATGTATGTATTTGATGTTTAAAAAATAATCAATAATAACAAATCAAAAAAAAATAAAATAAAAACATTTAGACAAATAAAAATTATAATATTAATTAATTAATCAATCAATTAATCGATTAATATGTGTTACAACAAATTTTCACTAATATATAATCATTTATGTTTTTTATATGAAAAAATATATATATATTTGTTTACCACATTATTGTTTTTTTATTTTTATATATTATTATTATTATTATTAACAATTTTTCTAATGGATATCTTTGTTAATTAAAACAAAAATTTGAAATTAATTATAATGACTGGTTTGTACTTATATAATAAAAATAAAATTATTATAAACTAAAAATAAACTATTTTTTTTAGGTATCGTTCGGTACAGTAGTTTCAAGGATCAGGTGTTTTCTTTAGATAGGAGTAGTTGTAGGAGTAGTAGTAGTAGTAGTAAAACAACCAAAAATATATAATAAAATATCTGTTGTTTTCATCACAAAAAAATAATTTAAATTTAAATATATCTCTATTTTTTTGCTAAAAAAAAAGTTTTAGATTTCCCAACAATTTGTTGTTTGTTTTTTTTATTTTTAAATTTTTACTCAACTTTTCATTCATAAAAATAAAATAATATATTTTCTCTGTATGTGTTTGTGTGTTGTTTTGTTATTTTCATTTCATTTTATATATAAATATATATATATATATAAACAGTTTTATTTTTCATTACATTTATTCAACAAAATATTTTTTCACTAATATATATATATAAAGTTATATATAGTTAATATTTATTTACAATATTTTATTATTATTTTTTTTGAGAGCAATTTGTCTAAATTGTGTGTATGGTTTCACTTTGTAAATGTTTATATGATTTTTAAATAGACTTTTATTTAAAAAAAAAATAAATTGTTGTTTCAAAAAAAACATTGATTAAATCAATTGATTTTTTTATCATTATCATTTAGTTGTTTTAGCTTAAATATTATTATATATATATATATATATTCATATTATATACTTATGTAATGTACAAATAAAAATAAACAAATAATTAAAAATCAAATATAATAATAATAATTGATAATAATAATAATAATGTCTATATAATAATATATCAATTAATGAATTATATATAACTTATATATATATATATATTATAAAACAATAATCTTTTCTCTCAAACGACTTTTAATTAATTAATTAATTAATAATAATCAATAATTAATAATAACTAATATTAATCAATAATAACTAATATTAATCAATAATAATAATATTAATAATAATTATAATTATAATGAATAACGACTATATATAACAACAAACAAAACACAGGGCTCTATCAATAATATCAATAATAATAATAATATAATTAAAATATATTTTTATATTTATTTATATGATTGTTGTTTATGTGTATTAAAAACTTATATAACATATATATTTGTGTTTTTTAAAAACAAAAAAATTATAATATAATAATAATATATTTATTTTTCTACAATAAAACTGTAGTCCCAAAAATAAAAATAATAAAACCGTAATTTAATTGTTGTTTTATTGTATTTCATGTCAATATATATATATATAATATATATTTGATTAGTCCATCAAATTATGATTGTATTTGAAATTTAATGATTTTTTTCTAACAACGCTGAATGGTATGTCACACATATAATAATAATAATTATTATAATAATTATTATTATTTAACATCTATATAATGTTGTTGATGATGATTATGATGATAATGGTGATGCTGATGATGATACTAATATTAATGATATCAATAAAATAATGATAATAATAATTAATAAAAAAAATTGATATTTATATATATGTATATAATTAGTGTTTTATGCATTTCAATCATATAAAAATTTATATACGTATATACTATATAATTATAGTAATTTATTATTAAATTTTTTTTATTATCACTTTTCCAATTAATAAAAGTGATAAAACGATATATATTATATTGTATTGAAAAAAAAATAATAATTTGATTTAATGTGTTTTAATATATATACATATATGAGTGAACACCTATTGGCGGTGGATAGGTAGATGGGGTGGGGGTAGGTAGATGTGTACGTTGTCTAATGTTATTATAACATATTATTAAACATTGGGGGATGAAAGGGGCGGACGCGCACATGTATTAATATTATTATTACATATGTTATGTTGGCACTTATTTTTTTTTTTAAAAATCAATAAAAATTATGTCAATTTTAAGTATAGACAATACATTAGAAGTGAGAGAGAGAGAGAGAGTATAGTTTCAAGTATTGCACAGAATATTCATTAAAAATAATAGTTTTATTTAAAATAAATTTATTATTAATAAATATATTAAATATATCTATATAAAATAAGATAATAGATTATTTTTTTAACTTATTTTATTACAACATTTCAAATGTTATAATTATTTTTAGAGATAAAAATATATAATGGGTATTGAATGAGAAAATAAAATAAAATTATCGATTAATTGAAATCCTGTTTGACATTCAATATATATACTGTATATATATATACTATATATAAGATAGATAGTTGGCATTCAAATTGTTATAATAATTATTAATAATTGTTGTAATAATTATTATATACTAATAATAATAATRATGAATATAATGTTGTATTTTTTTGAAATAAAAAATTGTTAATGAATTATTATTATTATTATTATTACTTAGGATATAACATCAATAATTTTTTTGTCATTGAATTTCTGTTTTTTTAGATATACATTTACTAAACCCATACAGGTTTTTATTATTGAAATAATAATAATAATAATAATAGATTCATGTCTTGATATATATATATATATATAAAAGTGCAAATGTATTGTGTGTTTGACATTAATTTTTTTTTTAATATGTCTACAGTATTTCTCTCTCTCTCTCTCTCTCTCTCTCTCTCACACACACACACACACACACACACTTTCAATATATACATGTATATCACATTGACACACATTTTTATATTATATCGTTTATTATGTATGTCTATATATATATATACACACAAATACATACATAAATGAATAGGAATATTCTGTATTAAATACATTTTTTTCTCGCTTACAATAAGAATATTCTGTAAATAATAAATTATGTTTTTACTCTCTCTCTCTCTCTCTCTCTCTCTCTCTCTCTCTCTCTCTCTCTCTCTCTCTCTCTCTCTCTATCTCTTACACATACACACACATAAGATATATAATACATATGTATTAAATCATTATTTTTTTTGTTGAATAAAAATTTCTATAATTGAATGGATTGAATGTATTTACAGTAGATTTATATAATATATTAATAATATTTTTGTCTTTCCCCTTAATTTTTTCCCTGCTAAATATATAGATTATTTTTACTTTATATAATAATAATAATTACTGTTATTTTTTATATATATTGTCGTCACTAATCTATAACTAATTTTTTCTGTCTCTCTATTATTCTCTCTTTCAGTTTATAAATGTWKTTTCAATTGAATTTTTCAATGTCTGATATAATAGTCTATATTAAGCGTACATTACAGTAGTAATACATAATTAACTAAAAAGCAAATCAATAGGCAGACAAACATTTTTCAAAGTATTAAAAAAATAAATAAATTATATAAACTTTTTTAAATAAATTTTTATATAACTACAAGTCTATACTGTTATAATATCATACAATAAATCAGTATTAAAAATATTACATACAATATTATATATATTGAATAAATTATTATCAACAATTAAATAAAAATTGTTAGATAATATTTATTTTAGCATTTGGGCTTGTTTGWCATAATCATCATTATAATAATTATTATATTTATAAAGTAAAATCATTGTGAATTATAATTTATTATAATTATTATTAAAACAAAAAAATTTTAAATGTGAAATAATTTCTTTTAAAACAAATTAATATAATTATATATTTATATCACTTCTAAACTTATAATAATTTAGTTTACTTTTTTTTTAGTTTTGTTTAAACAAATATCAAATTTAAATTTAAGCAAACATACAGCAAGTGTGTGTATATATATACAGTATATATTGAATACTAGAATATAAATGTCAACTATTTTTAAATTTTTCATTATAATGCTAATAAAATAATAATAATAATTTTTTAGTGTAAACTTTTGTATAAAATTTATGTCGAAATAATTTTCGTAATTTTTAAAATGGGAGAACTATTTGCTATAAAATAATAATCATAATAATGAAACAAAACTTTTATAATATATATACAAATAATATATTGTTAATTTAAATAAGAAAAAAATTTTAATATTAGATTTTTATAATACATAGACATACAAACACACACACACACACAATCATACAATAGGTACTGTATATATATATATATACCTGTTGTATGATTTTCGTGCAAATATTGACACTTTTATAGCAAATTACTTTATCGAAAGCAATTTAAATGAATAATTTATTTTTCATATAAAATTCAAAGAAAATTATTTATTTTTTTTGATTCTATACAATCACACACACATAATATACAGTAGAGACTGTATAATAAATGTATAATTCAATATATATATATACTATGTGTATATATATATATATAGCAAACATTGTATAAACACTAAATTATACAGTAAAAAATTTATTTAGTAAAATATATACAGTACCAGTATATTCAAATATATTATTAATTTGCTTATTATAGCAGTGTGTGTGTGTGTATGTGTGTGTGTGTGTGTGTGTGTGTATGTGTGTGTGAGAGAGAGAGAGAGAGAGAGAGAGAGAGAGAGAGAGAGAGAGAGAGAGAGATCTAGAGAGAGAGAGAGAGAGAGAGAGAGAGAGAGAGAGAGAGAGAGAGAGAGTGAGTGAGTATCTAATAATGGCAAAAGTTTTTGAGAGAGAGAGARAGARARAGAGARAGAGWGAGTGAGTGAGTGAGTGRGTGAGAGAGAGTGAGTGAGTGAGAGCTAAGAGAGTTAGCAACAAAAAAAAAGTTTTATATTTATATATAAAAATCAGTTTTATAAATGTTTATATTGATAGATGTCTGGGATTTGTGTAAAAGTTTTATTAAACAATTTTCATGTACAGTATATACAGAAGCTCTTTCATTCAACAAATATATTATATATATATATATATAATATATATATATATATATATATATATATATATATATATTATTTATATAATATATATATATATATATATATATATATATTTATAAGCAAAAAAAAAGTTGTCTGATTATAGCTGATGATTGTGATATACCAGAAAAAGTAGGAGCAAAAAAAATGTCCATCACCTAAAATAGCGCATCAGTGCCATTATAGCACACACACACACACACATACCAGTGCCATATAGCACACAGCATACCAGTGCTATACACCCAGTGTCATATAGTCATAGCATACAACACACACACATACTGTACAAAATCCCAGATACTTATGCATATAATGACATTTCACTGTTCACTGAATTTCACTTAACGCTTAAAGAAAGTAAAATAAAAATATAAAAAGATTTTATTTTAAAGTAAAAGTAAAATATATATATATAAAGGGTTTTTAAACAGTAGTATACAGTACTACAGTACACAAAGTCTGTATTACAGACACACACACACACACACACACAAACATACATGAGCTTTGACAGCACACAGTTATTGTACTGTACTGTATAGTACATGAGCTGGTAATAAGTAAAAGAGATTGTGATTGAAAAGGGTATACACTTTTTTTGTAGTTTCTTTCAAAAAATTTTATCACTATTGACATATATAATGTCACTGACTGTTAGAGAGAGAGGCCTACAAAAGCAACCGGTGCTGTAAAAACTCTCTCTCTCTCTCTCTCTCTCTCTCTCTCACACACACACACACACACATACATACACACAACTGTCCCAATACTATGTCAACCCTTTAAGACCCAATTTTTTTCTTGATATCTGTTTTGTGTATCTATGTGTGTGTGTCGGGTGCGGACAATACAATAATAGCACATGGATCTCATATTAACTTCAACTGTCCCATTACTATACCGGTATATATACCATTACAATAGCTTTACGACAATAGGCACCGCAATAACAAACATAAATAGCCCGAAGCGCTTACGGAATATTCCTTATAAATATAATACATATTATATTTCAAGTTAAAAACCCTTTCACTATAAACTAAACTATATGTATGTATATATAAAAACTTATAATAATAAGTGTTATAGAAATTTACAATTTGTTACTCAAATAGTCATTATTTGATATTCAATCAAAATTTTTTTTTGAAGAAATTGAATAAAAATCTATTGAAATGAATGACTGAAATGTATGTATATTTTTGAAAAATTATTGAAAAGAGAGAGTGAAAGAGATTGAGTGACACACATATACATACAGTATAGTACAGTACAGTACTGTATTTAGGGCTCATATTTGTCATCAATGGTATTAAAGCATACATAACTGGCCTCCTGTTTAGAAATCATTTTTTCTCTCTCACTAAATACCGGTGTGTATAAGTGTGTACTGTAGTGCCACAACAGTMTATGTGTTGTAAGCCTAAAATGTATGCCTTTCCCCTTACTCCTAATAATAATGAATGCCTGTATCTGTCATTTTTACTACTATTTTTAGATGCCTTTTATCTCTCTCTCTCTCTGTCGCTTGGATTCATATTATATCACATGACAATCACTTTTTATTTTTGTACTGTATWTAWATATATAGAAGCAATTGTTTAGCTAGGGGTAATTTTGGTGGGACCGGGAGGTGCAGCAGGCAATGGTGGTGGTGGTGGGTGTTAGGGATTTGTATGGATCATTGCTATGCTTTTTTTTGGTACAGTATTTTCACTGATTTTTTCAAAAGTCCTAATTGTGTCCTAAAACATAGCATATGTGTGTCTATGTGTTGTATACAATAAAACAAATAAAACTATTTAGGGTTTCTCTCTCTCTCTCTGAGAGATGATATAAATCAACGAAATATATATTTATATATAGATTTTTAGAGAGAGAGAGAGAGAGAAATCTCTCGAAAATAAAAATAAAAACTTTTGGCCCCAAACTCTATGGTATATATGATATTATATTATATACAGATTTTTGTGCTGTTATAATAATAATAATAATAAAAAAGGACAGTTAGTGTAAATAATTGGCAGATATTTTTCATATGTACAGTAAATTTATATATTTATATAGTACACAACACATAGTTTATATTAAAAAAAAAAATAAAATTATTGTAAATATAATATACTATACATCACATGAGTGTATAGCTGATATCAACAACAAAAAATTATGATAACACTATTTTTAAAAAAATGTTTCAATAGTTAAGAGCACTATAGTGTTAATTAATTAATTTATATATATATATATTGTTTTTTGCCCACACAGTTTTTTGGTAAGATATAAATGCTAACATAAATAATAATACATTTAAATAACAATTTAAATAATAATAATAATAATCGATAAGTTATGTGATGAAACCGGATCTTCAATTTATAGTATAATAATAATAATGCAAATGATTTCTAAGATATATTATGCAAAATATTGATATACTTGATAACTTCTAAGTTATATATAGTAAATATCATGTGATGTATGTATATCTATGTGTGTTTGCTTTTGTATAATGTATAATGAATTTTGACCCAAAAATGTCAAACAAATTTTTTTTCTCAGTTGTCGTTTTGAACTTTTCAAAAAATATATATATTTATATATATATAATATAATTTTAATTAATGAAAAAATAGATATATATATATATATATATATATATACTGTATATAATATTATAAATTCGGTTGACTGGTATATGTTATATAATGCGATAAAAATTTATGTTATGTTTTAAACTATACATACAATAATATATGATACAAGTATGCTATAAACATGCAAAATAAATTTCACATCATCATCATCATATGACTACATAACAAAAACGTATATACGCGCTTATGTAGGTATAATGTATTTATGTAAATATACCGTATGGGTTTAATAAACAAGTATATAAACAATATATGTATGATTTTTTTTTAATTATAAATGTATGTATTTTATATATATGTTTGATGATTGAATTAGTAGTGGGCAGTGGTGCTATATTGGTAATAGTATTGATTTCAATTATAATTAAACAATTTAGATTATATTTTGGAAAAAACAAACATTAGATATAAATTATATGTAGAAAAAAATAATTATGTAGTTATGTATTAAATAATGTCGCAAACAATAATGTATACATAAATACATATATGTAGAGAGAGAGAGAGAGAGAGAGAGAGAGAGAGAGAGAGAGAGAGAGAGAGAGAGAGAGAGAGAGAGAGAGAGAGAGAGAGAGAGAGAGAGAGAAAGAGAGAGTTAACATTTTATTATTTTATTGTTGACTCCCAACAACAACAAAAATTATTGCCCCTTTTGTTAGCCTGTCTTAAAACTAAATATAAAAAAATATTTATATTATAGTTTAACTAACTAATTAATAATTAAACTCATTTTATTTATAAATTTTTCAACAAAAAAAACAATCGGGGATAACACTGGACACATAAATTTTTAAAAAAATAAGACATACTGTATATTTACAAAATAATATTGTTATATAAAAAATAATATAGTTTTAACTCCCACCCCACCCAACCACCCCCTGGTTTGATGATGGGGGTGCCGCCGCCGCCGCCGCCACTCATATAATAATATATATTAAATTGTCTTTTTTTAAATAAAAAATTATTATTTTAATATATGTATAAATTTACAATATAATAATAATCACATACAATATAAACGTATATAAATTTATATAAGACATCACATAATAATAATAATCATCATCATCGACACACACAAACACATCAACAACAATATTATCAATCAATTAATTAAAAATTAAAATATAATTAAAAAAAAATATATATATATATAATTATAAAAATTATTAAAAAAAAATTACATACAATTAATGTGTGATTTTTGTTGCTGTTGTGTTATAGTTGTAACAATCATTTAATTATTTTTTTTGTTGTTGAATAATACAATCATATCATTCATTCACTGGTAATTATAAATGAAAACATCGTCAGCGGATCCAAGAAAATTGGGTTTTTTGTTGTTGTTGTTGTTTTCTCAATGATAATGATTATAATAAAGTGGTCATAAAAATTATAGTTTTTGTTTTTTTGTTGATGAAAATGTATATAAATGGATGAATTGAAGGATGAAGAAGACGGACGACGACGACGACGATGACAATGACGACGACGACGAAGAAGCAAACGGTAAATATTCATCTGAAACGGTCGGTATATATCTATATATATATATTGAGATATAGTGTGGTATATGTGTACAGAAAGTGATAGTGATGTCCGGGATGTCATCATCATCAGCAACAACAGCCCATCCCAATCATCCAACCCATCAGTGAACCCATGAACGACTGGACGGTGCGTTTGTCGTCATCGGTGCCGGATTATGGCTAACAACAGTGGTCGTGCCAGCCGGCGAACCGTGATGGTTAAGATGATTCAGATGTTGGTGTAGCTGATGATTAAGGTGATGATGATTCAGATGATTCAGATGGTTGTTGTGATTGTTGAGGTGATGGTGCATTGCGGCGGCAGCTGCAGCTGGATCGCCGCCGCCGGCAGCGGTAGCAAAGTTGAAGTCTAGGCTGCCGTCGACGCTTAGCTCGTGGCGTATGACTGAGTCGACGTCGCACTCGAGGCCGCCGTGCAATGAATCCAGATTGAGGTCCAAGTCGTTTGGCAACTGGTTGTTAAATGACAGGATATGGCCCATCATTGTAGCTGTGGTTATGGATATGGTATGGTATGTCCATCATAAGGGTTGGGTAGGTTAGGATGTGTGTGACAGAGAGGGAAAAAATCAGACAGACATTCATTAGCATCACATTTGTATTGATATTTCAATGACATATAACGATAAAATTATACTGTACTGTATATAGAAACTTGTTTTTTCAAATTTATGATTTAATATTATGAATATAATAATAAAAAAATTACTTATATATTACTTATATTATATACAGTATATACAGTATAATTGATTTATATTTTAATAGATAAATCAAACAAATTTTTGTATAAACAATAAATTTGTTTAAAATTCTATAAATATATAGATATTTTCCATAAAAATAATATCATTTAGTTTATTTTATTGTATTGTCAATTATATAAATGTTTCAACAACAACAAAAAAAACTTTATTTACATTTTATATTACCTAACAAAAAAAAAATAAAATAAATTTCTATGCATTTTATTAATATTGTTAAATAGCTAATTTTTGTTTAAACAAATAATATACTAGTAAATTATATTATATAACGATAAATTTATTTATTTTTTAAAGATAATATTCATGTTTGACTAGTTTTTTATTATCATTTTTAAAGGGCAATGATGTTATTGATAATAAATTTATATATGTATTTAATAATAATTATAATGATGTTTAAATATAAATAGCTATTTTAAATATTTTTTCTTACATTTATTAATATCGTTAATATTAAAAGCTAATTTAATGTTTTATTTAAAATGTTTTATTTAAAATTTTATAATTGAAAAAAATAAATTATAATCAAACCAATCAAATCAATAAAATTTATATATATATGTGTATTATTTTTTTAAACATACACACACTTAACTAACCAATAAATATATTATACATATAATTATCATTTATTATAATTATTATTGTTGAGCAATAATAAATAAAATATAAATAAATTAATAATTTTCATTATCAATATAATATATTTAAAAAAACTACTAATACTACTAGTGCTGACATACCTGTGCGCTCGCCCTTGAGTTTTCAATAATACTAAAAAAATCGCTAATATTTTCTATACTAATAAAAATATAGATAAATTATCAGATAATTAACAACACAGTAGAGAGTGTCGCAACTAATACTGTAGTAAATAACACATAAATTTTATATCAATTATTTTTTTTTTTAATGATTGAGAAATGCTTATGTATTTATATATATATATATATATTTTTTTGATTGATGATCGCTCAGGTAGTCTACAGTACACCGGTAAACAAACAAACAAACAAAACTGATTTAATATCTAACCTCTATTTTGGGCAGTCGTGGACTGGATGTGATGTTGTGGTGATGAAGAATAGTTGGACATCGTGTTGTTGGCCGCGACGGTAGTGCCGCTGGTCACTGCTGTGCAGTTGTTGTTGTTGGCCACCATAGTGTCAATGGTCTGACTGGACACCGGTGACAAACTGGTCAACTGATAGCTGGTAGTGTTCGAGCCGCCGCCGCCATTGGCAACACCGTTGAGCACGTCTGAGGCCAACAGTATTTGTGTTGGACTACGGGCGGCCACTCCGCCGCTAACATTGTTAAGCGCCGTCAGTGTCGTAGCGCCCGTCTCACTGGTTTGCTGCGACTGCTGCTGCTGTTGTTGTTGTTGCTGATTATAACCGGTTAGTTGACCATAGCTGCCCATAGTATAGGTCGTGTTGAGCTGTATATGTGAGCCGGCCGGCGACAATTGGCCAGTCGGCGACGTCTTATTAACGACGCCCAGAAAAGCTGTATTGCCAGTCAATTTCATAGTGTTGGCCATTTCGACCAACTGTTCCGTACTGTATTGGTCAACGTCGTTGACATTACCGGTATAGATGCGTCCAATGTCGCCGTGATTCCAACTGGTCAACGGTGATAGTGGCGGTACCTGAGTAAACATTTTTTTAAGCACAAAATTGGTCAATTAGTACCGACATATATATAGTATATTGTCTATAAGAGCACCGGTATTTGATTTAACACATACTTGACTGTCGTGCATATCGTTGTCGACGGCAGGTATCGGCGACAGGCGGCCACACGACGAAGCGTTAGACGAAGCGCGCGGCCGAAACTCGGGACTCAAATTGAAACCGTGATGTACGGGTGAATCGGGAAACATATCCAGACCTTCGGATACCGACGACGACGGACTGGGCGTCGACTGATCCAATGATAGACCGTTTTTCAGGGCTTCGATCTTCTTCTTGACCCGACCGCGCTTTTTCTCGTACTTTTGCGTTTCCATTGATGTGGCCCGACGTCGGGCAGCCTTACCGGGTTTGGCATCCGGGTTGATCATCCACCACGAACTTTTGCCGGTACCCTCATTCTGGACACGCATGAATCGGTTGTGTAGGGATAGGTTGTGTCGGATCGAGTTCTGGGTTATGGGTGATAATAATTAAGATAATAAACAAAAAGATAATGAATTAGTTTAAAAAACAAAAAAATTATCATAAATTATATTAAATAATTATAATGTAATAAATATAATTCGTGTGTGTGTGTGTCTACTTTGTGTGTGTGTGTGTTAATTATTATAATTGAATGGCTTATAATTATCATATTATTATTATTTTTTTTAATAAAGACATTATCATCAAAAAAATAAAATAAAATAAAGTTATTAGTTGTATATACAATATGTCTTGACTACATCCCAAGGTCGGGTAGCAATCAATTTTATGACTAGTTTTTTGTGCTGATAATAATAATATATTTTATTTAGTAGTAGTAGTAGTAGTAGTAGTAGTAGTAGTAGTAGTAGTAGTAGTAGTAGTAGTGTAGTTGCATTAGTAATGCAATTAAACATTTTATTTTTTTTTTGGGTAAAAATTTCCCCTAAATATACCATTAAACCACAATTTTTTCTCTATATATTTGTTAAAAGTCAATTATATTATCAATTATATAATCAGTAAATGTGACTGACTATGTCTAGCTAAAAAAAATATATATATACATTTATTTATACATATATACAGTATATATATATATATATATATTTAAAAAAATTATGTATATACTTATTTTAAGTTACCCCAATAAATTAAACATGATAAAAATCGCATTATACAAGCTATACATTATATATATATAAATTAAATATACAGTATTATATGTTTTATATAAAATTATAAATAAGTAAAAATCAAGAAACTAATAATAATAATAATAATTAAAATTATAATTTTTGTTTTCTATCAATTGCTATCATATTTAGCTATTTTTGGTACCAAAAACAGCAACAAAAATTAAACTCAAAATTTTTTATGTATGAGTTTTTTTTTGGTGGAGTTTTTGAAAAATTAAATACACGTTTGGTGACAGCTATTTGTGGTAACAGGAGCTCAAACCATAGATACAGTACTGTACAGTGTGTGTGTGTGTGTGTGTGTGTGTGTGTGTGAGAGAGAGAGAGAGAGACGGGATGCGGTCGTCCCGGTCGCCATGGGTTTGAAATATAAATATATAATATATATTTATATATAAGGATAGGGATAGTCCAAGTCATATATATATATTCATGCATACAGTATAAATTATACTGTATATTATAAACCATACAACACACATACATACACATTCCCATATCAATGGCATTTATATGTGTATAAAACAGTACAATATCTGTACTATATGTGCTCAACACATACACACATACACACACACACACTACGACACAAAAAATATGGTATAGCCATAAAAACTAAAGAGGTTGTGTCCTAGCGATATAAATTAGCGGCACTCATATGGAGGAGATAAATACCATACACACACACACACACACACACTCAGTTGACTTTTGATTTATTAGGCATTTTTTCATACAAAAAAAAGACATACATTTCTATAGATATATATAGACTAAATACATGTCTAACATCTACATCAATAGAAATGATGAATATAATGATCGGTTTAATTGTCCACAAAAAATAGCAAATTTAGATAAAAGCCCTCACATTGTTGATGATGATGATGAGCTATAGCTTTCCTTAAATACCCCCATAAGCTTAATGCCATTACATAATAAAGAGCGATAGAGAGAGAGAGAGACCTATTGAATAGTATGTGTGTATGTCGTGTGGTGATTAAGGACAGGGAGCTCAGACACACACACACACTAGAGATAGATAGTCAGTCAGTCAGTCAGTCACTTCAATAGTAGTGCCATTTATGAGCCAAAGATTTCCATACAGTATATACAAAAAAATTTCATATAATAGAGGGGACAGTATGATGTAAAAACCATACAAATCATTGAGAGTTGTACTGTATGAGAGCATAGGAGTATGGGTGCACAAATATGTAAGTGCAACTATGGGATGGGATGGGATAGGGCCAGTGATAAATATATATATATATATATGTATTTATAAAGCGTACTACCAGGATAATGACCATTTAAAAAAAATCACACACACACTCACATTAATATAGATAGCTATCAACCTATGATATTATATAAGCTATTTTTTTGTTTGGCTATTGTATTATAAATTTTTTTTGGTGGGGTATTACCTAAATATATCGGTACCGTTAAAGTCCCGGAAATCTCTCTCTCTCTCTCTCTCTCTCTCTCTCTCTCTCTCTCTCTCTCTCTCTCACACACACACACACACACACACACACACACACACACACACACACACACACAACTCATCTGGTAATGTGTTAAGACCTTATCGACAAATAAAATATTTGTTAAGATTATTATTATCATAATAATGATAATAATAAATGGCTTTTAAAGAGAATGAATGAATGTATAGTTCATATAATAGAGTTGTCAATACAATTGACAGCAATTTATATCAATTTTTGTTGAGAGAGAGAGAGAGAGAGTTCAATATATACTCTACAATACAATAAATTCATATATAGATTGTGAATAATACACACACTCTCATGAATATAATATGTCCATAGAGTGGATAAGGATGTGTGTGTGTGTGTGTGTGTGTGTGTGTGTGTCAATGTCAGTGTGTATGTGCTTTTTGCAAGCAATCAATGAGATGAAACTACAGTCTATATTAAAAGGGATAGTTGTCTGTGTGTGTTTGAGTGAGTGTATGCGTGTCGATGTGTTAACCAGATATTGTATTATCAAATTTTTTTAAGAGCAAACCGAAAGTGGACTTCAATATAAACTGTGTTAAATCCATTTGTATATATCCAACGGTTAAGTAGTAGTAGTAGTAGTAGAAGTAGTAGTAGTAATAGTAGTAGTAGTAGTAGTAGTAGTAGTAGTAGTATTAGATGTAGTATTTGTAATATTATTGAACATTTTCACTGAGGACAGACACACATGTATTTAGGAGGTTATATGAGTTTCTCTCTTTCTCTCTCTCTCTCTCTCACACACAGACGTAATACACTGAAAATACTAATGAGATTTTTGGTTCGCCTATCACTCGATTTCAAGTGCATTGATGAGAGAGAGAGAGAGAGAGAGAGAGAGAGAGAGAGCTGATGGCAATTGCTTTTGAATGGGAGGTAACTGTGTGAGTGAGAGAGAGAGAGAGAGAGAGAGAGAGAGAGAGAGAGAGAGAGAGAGAGAGAGAGAGAGAGAGAGAGAGAGAGTATGAACACCGGGAGATACCAGTGTGCAAGCAATGAGTCGTTCATCATTACAGTACATTAGAAAATGACCCTATCTGTCTATCCATGGCAGCTACATGTCCATCAGATATTGTATATACATGTATAGCTAGGAGAGAAAGAGAGCACTGACTCTCTCTCTCTCTCTCTCTCTCTCCATACACACAACTCTAACATCAATGCGTGAGCTCTTATCCTTCATGTGTCCAAAAATGCATTAGAGTTTTTAGAAGTGAAAACGGGCTAACCATTAATCAGGATGTGTCTGTCCAGACCTCCCCGACTCCCTACTGACTTTCAATTGCCTTTAAGGAGAGCACTGGCACTACTGGCATAGCATAGCATCTCTCTCTCTCTCTCTCTCTCTAAAAGCGGTGTCGTCTCAAAGCACACGGCAACCAAAAAAAAGTGAGAGACATATTACAGATCGAGAGAGAGAGAGAGAGATAACTCATATATTCTTAAAGGCATAATATAAGAGATTTGGCATAAAAAATCAGACCATGAATTCCCTCTATATTTCTAAAAGCATTTCATCATTAAATACGAGTGCCATTTAAGTATGAGAGAGAGAGAGAGAGAGAGAGAGAGAGAGAGAGAGAGAGAGAGAGAGAGAGAGAGAGAGAGAGAGAGAGAGACTAATATATATAATAGCGGGCACTGATATAGCTCGGGTATAGATTTTTATATCGGTATATCACTATATTGTATATGTTACCTACCTGTACCTGCTGTATATATATATATATAACAATAAGAAAAAACTTTTTGATTTTGATAGATAGTTAACGGATAGGGCGAGGGGCATATACAGTAGTATACTATATATATATATGGGCACCTATGGTGGGCACCCAATTGGACATCCATTGCCTACCCGACTCACACACACAAACACAATACACATATGATCAGAGTATTACAAATTATAACATATGATATCAAATGTTATGAATGTATTACTCAAAATATGGTACCGAAAAAAATACATATTATTTCTTAATTTTTCATAACAATCAATCAAAACTGGTGTGTTTGATATATATATATATAATATTCAACAATTTGTATTAGACATATACACACATTATTTATGGGAAATGATAAATGAAATTTTTTTTTACAATAAATTTTCTATCTATACATTCATATAATTTCATTCAATAAAATTTTTATATATTTCAATTTAACGCTTAACTATGACATTTTCATTTATATACAATTATTATTATTATTATATATATACAGGTATATAACAACACATTTTAGTTATATATATATATATAAATGTATTAAAAAGTAATTTTTTAAATGTCAATTACTTATATTATATTATTTATTATATAAAAAAAGGCAACAACAAAAATATGTGTGGCTATTATGTGTCAATTTATAAACGGTATGAAACAATTTTTTTTTGTATTATATTAATATTATATGCAAGAAAAAAATTGAATTAATACACAATTGCAATACAATTGTATAAAAATAAATTTTAATGTTTTTTTTGTAGTGTTGATATCTTTATTATGTTTGTAGAGAAAAAATAAAGATTACAATACAGTATATGCTGTTACAATAAATTAGACAATTAATTAATATTATGCGATACATAACTTTTTATTGAGGGGCAAAAAAATAAATAAATATTTTGTGTTAAACTATTTGCCAAAAAAAAAATAAATAACTAAATAATAATAAAAATAACTCAAATGTATAATAAATAAATAATTTTTTTTTGTTTAAATGTTTTGTCACTAAATTATTTTTTAATAG